TGATTCAATTATAATGGGAGTCAAACTAACTTACATACTGACATTAACTATCTTGTTTACTTTCAATTCTGATAACCAGCTGTCCCCTAGCCAGGTCTTACCAATTCATACTAACCCAATATTTCTAAAGGAAAAGGGTGAAAGAAAAAAAAAACAGTTCAAATTGGGCATGGTGGCACATGCCTATAGTATCGGCCAYTTGGGAAGCAGGAGATTGAGGCCATGCTGGGCAGGACAAGACCCTGACTTTAAAAAAATAATTAAAAGAAAAAAAAAAAAAAAGAAAAGAAAGGGTTCAGTTAAGGGGAAAAAATGTGTTTCTCTGGGAAGATCAACTGTATTTCGTGTGCATGTGTGTGCTGGCAAGGGAACCCAGGGCTTTTCACAAGCAAGGCAAGCACTCCACCACTGAGCTACACAGCCCAGAGCTGTTTTTGTTGTTTTGTGCAACACCAGGGTTACACCCAGGAACATTCTACCWCTAAACTTCATTTCCAGCCTTTTTGTTTGATTTTGAGACAGTGTATCGCTAAGTTGCCTGGGCTGGCCTCAACCTTGCAGTTCTCCTATCTCAGTCTCTTAAATTGCTGGCATCACATATGTATCTTATCACCACACATAGCTATTGGAAGCTCAGTTCTAATAGTCATTCCTGACTGGAAAGAAGCTACTGCTGGCTTTCTCTTTACTGCTGATAATCCTGAGAGCTCACAAAGGAGGCTTTTGAAGTACTCTAACAAGACCCCAGCAGAAGATTGTTCTCTGTATTATACCTTGAGAAAGGCCAAGAGGCTAGACAAGCCCAAAGGATGCCTTAGACTAACTCTACTAGCATTCGAAAGTCCTAAAGGACCTTCCTATGAGCCTCAAAATAAGTCATAAGGGCTGGGAATATAACTCAGTGATAAAGCACTCGCCTGGCATGTGCAAGGCTCTGGTACCAGGAAAAAATAAGATCATGTACACTTATTACTTTGGGGACACTTACCAAAAACAAAAACAAAGTTCAACATCTTTTTGGGGGGGCTGGGAGTACTAGGGGTTGAACCCAGGGGTACTTTACCACTGAGCTACATCTCCAGCCCTGTTTATTTTGAGACAGGGTCTCACTAAGTTGCTGAGGTTGACCTCAAACTTGTATTAATGTACTTCTGCCCTGACAGCTACCTCACAAATACTCACAGTTTCATAAACATGTTGATCATGCTGCTCTGGAAAGCACAATTCTGTTACCTTCCCACTATTTTTCCGGAAGACACCTATCTGGGTACAATAGCCAACATGCTCAGCTCCAGCTGGTGGTTCCCCTACCCCAGTAAACTCCACAGAGTAATGATAACGATTTGCCACTTGTAAGGCCCTGAAATCAAAATAATAGAAATCATTTTACTAAACAAAGTTATTGCTAAATAATTAGATTATTGCTAAGTAAATTCTAGTCAATAGTATTATAGATAAATATAATGAATCAAAATACTTTGTTACACATCCTCACACTACCACACAATGCCACAAAGGGTTTGTTTGATTTCTATGATGCAGGAACAGCCAACATAGGGCCGGTTTCCAAGTTACCACAAAAATATGGACAAGCCAGAGGTGGGGTTGTGGCTCAGTGATACAGTGCTTGCTTAAGCATGCATGAGGTTCTGGGTTTGTTCCCCAGCATCACATAAAAAACAAATAAATAAAGGTATTGTGTCCATCTACAACTAAAAAAAATATTTTAAAAAAATATGGAAAAGCCAAATGCAGTGGCACACGCCTATAATCCTAAAGGCTTGGGAGGCTGAGACAGGAGGATCACAAGTTCAAAGCCAGCCTCAGCAAGGTCCTAAGCAACTTAGTAAGACCTTGTCTCAAAATAAAAAATAAAAAGAGCTGGRGATGTATCACAGTGGTTAAGCGTCCCTGGGTTCAATCCCTAGTACCAAAGAAACTAGAAACAATTTAGGTAAGAGATAGGTATCAGGGTTTACTGCCTAGGACTTTTAAAAACRGTTTAAAACAACAACAACAGAAACCTTCTGAACTTACCAGGTCTGAAACTCCATTCTGTTCCACTCAAATTTATGATCAGCATCTCTTAGGGTCACTGTGGGAAATAGCGGGTTGAATTCAGCGTTTGGTGTGCTGATGACAATCATGGCTGGAGACAGGTACCCAAATACTACTTCGGGAAATCTAGCCAGATCATCTGAATCCAAATGTTCTATTCTAAAATGGTTAATGGGAAAGATAATTAAAGTAGCTTCACTGACAAATGTTTCCCAAATTGATTTAGTAAAAACAGTGACCATCTGGAAAATCAATTTCTTCAACTATGCAACAATGCTATSACACAAGAATAAAACAATTATTCACATATTCTAATCTTGCCCTACCCACAACTCTACCCATAGTGTTCCCTTAACCAAGGTCCTCTGCTGTGCTCTATGGGACTCTATCATACTCCTAAAAACATGTTATCTGAGTTTGTACCTTCCCGATATAAATACACATCACTTCTTGGTAGTGCCAAAAATGCATACCCTGAGGCTGGGAGTGGCACTCAATGGTAGAGCATTTGTTTAGCACAAAGCCCTAAATCCAATCCCCAGCCCCTCCCCTCAAAAACAGCCTACCCTAAATCAAATGAAATAATAGATAAATCCAGATTAAAGGATATTCTTCTACAAAATAATTCACATGTATTCTTCAGGAATAAAGGGCAGGGCCAGACCCAGTGGTGCACACCTGTAATCCCAGCAGCTCAAAAGGCTGAGGGAAGAGGATCACAAGTTCAAGGCCAGCCACGGCAGTTTAGTGAGACCCTGTCTCAAAATAAAAAATAAAAAGGGCTAGGAT